TCTGGTGACTCAGGAACCCTCCCTGTCTGCAGCTCCTGGAGCATCTGCCAGACTCACTTGTACCTTGAGTAGTGGTATCAGTGTTGGTGGGTACCATATATATTGGTACCAGCAGAAGCTAGGGAGCCCTCCCAGGTTTCTCCTATACTACAAATCAGACTCAGATAAGTACCAGGGCTCTGGCATCCCCAGCCGCTTCTCTGGTTCCAAGGACACCTCGGCCAATGCAGGAGTTTTGCATATTTCTGCGCTGCAGCCTGAGGATGAAGCCGACTACTACTGTGCCATCTGGCACAACAGTGCTTCTCACAGTGACACTCATGCATGGAGAAGTGGCACAAAAACCCAGCCTGCCCTGGGAGTTACACTATGATGCCTTTTTAAATGTAAAAATACCTTCTATCTACACTAACTGTGCTTGGAATTAGGTATAGTATAGGATCACTTGTTTCCTCAAACACCAAGCAATATTGCTCCAAACTCAGGAAAAAAAAATTTGTGATGGCCTCTAAAGTTTTCCTGGTGTTGCTGTCATTTAAAAACAATACAAAAATAGAATGCTTATATTTTTTCTTCAAAACATAATGTAATCAAGACTTTCTAGCTCTCCTGGTCAGAGCCCGTGGGGCATGTCAGCCTTCAGAGTGAGGACTTTGCATATACAGATGCCATGATGATCCTTTCTTTAAAAATCCATAAGAACATAATAATTTCTGCGCTACTTCTGTGGAGAAATAGCAGTTTCTCCAGCCCTGGCAAAGGCCAACAGGGCTTAGAGAACCAGCTAGAAAGGAGTCTGAGTATGTAAGTGTTCAGGAGCTGAGGAGCCATCAGTGCAATGCAAATAGAGAAGGAGAAGAGATGCACGTTGGTCCCAGACTTGGCCTTTCGTTCTTGAACCAAATGACTCAGTTGGGATCCAGTTCATATTATACCCCTTAGATGATCTCTGTATAGCAGATGGGATAAAAGCAAATCCTTGTCCCCTGAATCCTGACAGTCACTTAAGTTCAGACAAGCATTTCCTTTCCTGAAGACATAATCAACTGTGTGTCATAATCAAAAGGTAAAAATTAATATACAGGATAAGAACAATGTGAAACTTCAGGGGACTCTCAACAGATGGAAAGCACATTCCAGGTGACTCACATCTGGCTAATGTTGGAAGTAAAACTAAATGCTTTCCAAGAGATGTACTCTCTTTTTTTTCCTGGAAAAGTCTAATGGATAATTCAAAGCAAAAACGTAGGAGCCAATAGCACCTACCTTTTCAAATCATAAACAAACCTGTCATGAATTCACTACTGTAAAAATGTCTGGGAACCTTCCCGTCATCAAGCACTAAGAAAATCACATGGTGAGGGAGGAAACAGGGTCCCGGGATAGCACAGGTGAAAGGACTCAGGTGCTGAGGTTGCATTGGAGAGATTTTTAAACAACCACAATATCCATAATAATGAACTATTCCATTTCTTGAAACAAATGCAAAAGAAGTAAATATTCTTCACCAATGAAAATGTATTACATAAATTTAAGAAAAGCAAAGCAGAAATAAGTTAACTTTCAACTTCTGTGAATTCACAAACAGAAACAATGTATTTCAAAATACTTATTGAAATATAGAAATATAATGTGGGAAATTATTTCCTCCTAATTTCTGAACAACTGCCTTACATGTTGCTCTTTAGGGCACAGGCCCATTGCTAACAGGTATAACAATAATTTCACTTTGGTTATTGTGAAGAAAGCTTTGAACTTTTTTTTTCTGTTTTGAATGAAGAGGTTGTTGTGAAAATGAATTGTGCTCTGAGCAACATTTTGATCGGCCTTTTGAGAGATGCAGTCTTGTAGTCATGACAATATATTAACTATTGTTCTTATCAAATTATTTTGTTATGTAAGAAAAATAACACAAAGAAATTGAAGTCATATATTGTAATATACATTGAACACAAGTAGTGAATAAACTACAAATAATTTTTAAAGGACAGTAGGGGGCTTTCATAACTGAGCTCGAAGCTTTTTCAAGGTTTCCAAACCCAGAAACATACATATAGGACTCACAGTTACTGAGCTCATTTGTCCTCAGAGGCCTGATTTAGAGGTTACAGCAGGTGCTCCTTCTCATGGGAACATGCCGAGCTCACAACACCAAGCCTCCCTGACAGCAGAGCAGAAGTCTGAACTCCAAATCCTAAAAGAGATAATGCGGATAGTGTTGGTAAAAGATTCATAACACAAGACACCAAAAAAAAAAAAAACAAAAAAAAACAAACAAAAAAAAACACCAGAGGACCTGATGGGAACATGAAAGGACAATCTTAGTGTCAGTAGTGGCTGCAGCTGCTTGGGAATCTTGGAAACTCCACATTAAGGAGTGACACACTAAAGATTTTTGACAGGCCGTGGGCCCTCTAAGACCTACACAATTCTGCTCCTCTTCCATCGCCTCTCTCTGCCCAGCTTCTTATAGATTGCACACACCTGCCTTTACATCCACACTCGGTCCTTGTTCCTCATCCCTGGTGTGTGCTGATTTTTCCTTTGGGGTGTGTTCTCAGGCTGTGGTGTCCCTGGTATTGAACAAACAGCCTGTCTGTCACAGCCTCAGTTATTTTCATCAGTTGCTGCCTCTTTATAGTAATCACGGATGTCACTTCTTATACTGCTTTGAGCAATTTAGCCGTTTGCTTGAGCCAGACACCCATGACAATGACTTTTGATATAGGCCATAGGCACTCGTCACCACCTGCCAGGTCCTCCAGTTCCCTCATGTCACAAATTTGGCTTGACCTCCTCGGGGCCCATTCTCAGGATAAAGCTGGGTTCTCTTGTACAGTATAGACAAGTGAGGTTCAATCCAGTGCGACCGAATTGGTAAGTCAAGACATAAACAGGCTTGACTTAACATGAATGTGAAGAGGATCCTGTGAGTGGACAAAGAGCACCCTGCAGACTTTGGTTGACTCTTCACAGAGAGGAGGGGTAAGAAAGGGTCTTACTTCACTATCTTTCATGTTTCAGTCCTAATATGAGCAATTTGTGTGAAGTATTTCTTTGGAGATGTTCCTACACCTTCATGTGCCAGCCTCTGACGCTGTACATGTGTGGGGAGCTGCAAGGGTAGGCACTGGGCAGGACCACATCTGCATTCATGGCTCCTCCTCCGTGAGGCTGGTGGAAGGAATAAAGCAGTCTTAGGGCAGCTTACCGTAGCTGTGCACATCAGGATGTCTGTGCCCGCCACTGTCTGGGCCGCTGTCCTCTTCTTAGTGTTTGCTCATTTCTCAGATATTGACAGACGTTACTGATCCAGTCAGTGTCCAGTGCTTGGAAAAAGCAGCTCAAATTTGTCCCTTCTTGTTCACACGACTATGAGTCTGTTTCTAGGTTCTCATCCAGCCTGTGCTCCTGAGCCACCTTCCCTCTCCATCTTCTGAATCATCAGCCAGGCTCAGCTGCACTATGAGCAGTAGGGCACATCATTGGTGACTTCACAGTAGAGTGACATCAGCAGAGGCAAGGAGCCCTCCCCAGGTTCTTTGTACTATGCTTCATGTACAGAACTGGGATCTGGAATCCCCACTGACTTCTTGGGGTCCAAAGATGCTTCAGACAATGCAGGTGCTCTGCACATCTCTGGGCCACAGCCGGAGGACAAGGGTGATTATTACTGCAATTCCTGACATAGTAGTTCTCAACCTTACTCAGTGATATGTGCCCTTATGCAAGTGATATTGAAATCTCTGCTGCATTTTCTATGACAAATTATTCTGTTGCTCCATCTGAGACCATGTTTATCTTGGTGATGACTCTTAATCTCATTCCTTCTATCAGTATCCATTTTTGCTGGACCAGCTGAGGAGAAAATGTTCCTTTTGTTTTTAGCTTAAATTTTGATTTATTGCTAGTATATCTCAAACTGATTGTGTGTAAAATAACACATGGCTGTTTTCAGGGCTCAGTGAGGTCTGTCATCTCCAGGGAGATGACAGTTGAGAAGGATGTTGTTTGACCTCACTTGTGTCTACAGTGCTCAGGTAGAGACTAGTGAGTCAGAAGGTTTCTGCTTAGTCCCTACGTTCAGTGTGTCCAACCCTGCATCACTGACATTCCTTAAGTAAGTTGCCTTCCCTTGCTCCTGATGTTTGTACAGTGGTTCTCAGTACCATGCTGTTCTCCACAGGCTCAGAGCAATCAGGCCTCTGTGGCTGCGTCAGTGGAGCCTGCTCAGTATCTGCTCTGCAGAGAGATGTGACTGTGAGTCGATCACGCAGTTGCTGACACAGTGACCACACAGAATGTTCTTTCTGCATTTTCCGGTCGCTGCATTAAATCTGCAGTGTCCATAGTGGGTGCTGATGGCCAACCTACGAAACCTCACAGGCCAGACAATCATTGAGTGTACACACTGCACACCAAAAACCCAACAAGCTCCTATATTAAGGAATGGGGAGATGTTCATTCCACTCCTCATGCCATATTATAACATGCACTTGAAGTTCATAAATTTTTCAGTTTGATGATCAGATTTCTGCCCCAGCATAAAGACATTCAGCCCACACTGTGGATCCCTGTGTTCTTGTCTGATGAAAGGATTGCCTTACAGGAAAGCAATGGACCCTGATCCTCTGTGAACCAGAAAAAGGGGATATACTTGTGTCTTCCCTGAAGGTGCCACTTTCCTCCTGGTGATACTGAGAGATTGATCAAGCCTCAGCATGAACCCAGCAGGCATGAAATACCTGGATTCCCCCCATGACTTGTCTCAAGATTCACCTTGTGAAATGCTTCCAAACTTTGGTGAGAAACATCCAGACAAGCAGACCATCTACCTGGGACAAGTAAGGAACATGACACATGTGGCTACACACATGGTAGAGGCACAGGTTATGATGGTTAGTCCTTATAAATTATTTGTGGCCATGCTTATGGTTCTCTCATGTCAAGCATGTCCTGTTTATGCACAGGGCCATCATTTGGATAACTAGTTTAATCAATCTCTCCTGCACCAAGCTCAGTGGTCATGTGGGAAATTGTTGGTGGTCGCTAATGAATCTATCAGATTTTAAGATTATTCAATATGAGACAAAAAAAGTGTTCTTCAGCAAAGTTGGATAATTGTACCAGACTTAGTGGGAGGACCCTATTGTATCTCATGGTAAACACCTTGGAGAAGTCAGAAGGCCCTGGTGCTGGAACCTTAACTTACAGCCAGATGGTACAGAGCCATGGTGACCCTTGGACATTCCCTCCTAGGAACTAACAAGGCTGGGTTTAGCTCATGGCTTTCAAGGACTTTTTCTGGGTTATACTGCAATCTTTTCTTCCATGCCACTGCTTCCCTCATGTTTGACAGATTGGCCTCCTTGT